TGGGAAGGTCTGTCTTAAGTAGCATATGAGTGAATGGACCAAAGGAACAATATGACAATGAGGAAGAGAAGGACAAACAGAGAAGACAGGAAACTTAACAACAATTAGCAGGAATTACAATGACACAGTAAGGAAGACTGAAGTTCTCAAGTTAGTACAAATCTTTTATGAAATAATTGATGACTATATGGATTTTGCTTGTCAGGTACAGACAATGTTTTTAGTTGTTTTTTCAACATTTCATTTTCTATGTTTTTATGCATTTGAATTTTATGCATCCTATTTATATTTTTTGTTTGGATAGATGAAGTAACAATAAAAGAAGTCACAGTTTTAAAGTGGGCAGCTTTTTTGGTAGAAAACTGTATTGTGTTAAATATCTCTTCTCATCTGCCTCATTTTTTTTCACACTAAGGTCTTGCTTTCTATGCAGAATGAATTTTTCTAGGTGGAAGAACATTCAATCATCTGAGTCCTCATCTATAATCCAGTGATATAACAATGCTCACCATCCTGGTGTCCTCCAGATGTGTTAGACTACAATTCCCATTATTCACCAGCCCGAGCCCTGTAACAGATGTACCATCACTGGGAGAATGAGGCCTCAATATATCTATAATTCAAATTTGAATTACAATCCAGCAGCCAGCTGTGTGAACAAAATACCAGAGAGAGATGCTCATTGTCAGCAAATATGTCAGCATCATTGTAGAATGAAAATAGCACAACATTTTTTGGACATTTTAAGTGATATCCTTCTGTTTACCCTATTAGTTCAATCAACATTACTTTGCTTCTTGCTAAAATAATGACAAGGAGGAGACATTTGTTTAGACTGCCTGTGAAAGTAGGAAGATGATGTTAGCCCACACAGCAGGAAATTATGTTGACTGATAACAACCCAAATAATTCAGAACTAATTATATTTTGTTATCACAATATAGCACAATATAACACGTAAGACCAGGAATGCAAATGATCTTCTGGTGTTTTCCCTCCTTCCATGAACCACTTCGTGTCTTATCTCTTTGATCCATTGCACTATGAGTGCAGGGAAGATGGCAGAAGTGATGATATGGCTCAAATAAAGCAGAGGTGGGGACAGTCACTCTGCATTTTGTAATTGCTGACTACTGTCTATATTGTTGGGAGTAGCTGAGAGCTCCTGTCCAGCAATATGTGGAAGACTAATATTCCTCATCCCTGAGGACCAGGAGTTATGGACACATGGACCTTCTCTTGGAGTGCTCTTGGATCCAGTTTTATATCTGTTGTAAAACGTGGCATCACTGCCTTTCCCCCAGCATTAGTTTATTTGCCACTTCTACCCTTTCTGGGGGAAAAAGGCCTGAATGCTGAGAGACATGTACTGGAGACACATCTCCTCTTCTGATGTTCCTTCAAGCTAGCCCCAAATGTGCCATGTGGACAACTCTAAAAGCCTTTTGGAAGGTGTAGTTGGTCATGTTATAGTGATTCAGTCAAAAGGAAACACATAACCTGGCTGGATTTGGCCCGTTTCAAATATCTTTCATCTTGAGAATATTTTTTCAGGCCCTAAATAGAGGGAGGGATTAAGAGCAAAGATGTGAAAATTAGGCAAACTGTTTTGGTTTTGGGGATAATCTTTACTGTGATGGCCGGGAGACAGCTTTCCCCCCCCCCCCCCTTTCTCTGTCCTCATTTCTCTTAAGCAAATCGCATTGTTCTTTGGCATCTCTTCCAATATGGAAGTTTTTTTTTTCAAAAATAAGTCTTCTAATGTGAAAATAATTGTGTGTTTCCTAGTAGGACTGGCATCTCAAATCCTAGCTGCTCTGTTTTCCCCTCTCCAAACACATTGTAGACTATGAGAGAATTATGCTTTTCTGAATGGTGCTGTAGATGCAGGGACTAGATTTCTTTTGAAGGATCCTGGTGTCTGTCTATGTATAGAAGGTGGATGAGACTTGTTAAGGTTAAGTCTTTTTTTAGCAAAGCAACAGGTACAGAAGAGACAGAGCAGAGATAACAGTTTAGTAAATAATGTAGAATTTGGTGAAGTCAGTGAAGAAAATTCCAAATATCTGAAAACTGAGACAGGTCTTGGATGCTTATGAGGTTAAAACATTATTCCTATGACTGAATTATCTCCCAGTGGTGGCATCTTAGAATTTGCAAGCCTTCATCTTCCACACACAACTGGACTGTATCAACTCTATCCAGAATGCAGAATATTTGGAAGATCTTTACTCTAAAGGAACTTTTTCCTGTAGATGTATGTTTTTGTAATTCTTAGTCTTCTGTTGACCAGATGACAGAGTTGCTCCCATGGGCTTCAAAATGGACCAGACATATTGGATAGGGTTATTGTAGCTGAGTTTGACATAGGTTCTGGGCATTTGTTGGCTTTGACACACAAGCCATGACACTGGATTGAATTGAGTCATTTCTGATGAAGCCCTCAAATTAAATCCCATCCCTAATTGTAGATAGTAGTCTGACAGATGCACACACATGTCTGTGAACACACACACGCACACACACACTTTATCATTCAGGAAATGAAAGCCTGAATGCAATTAACATGATATGATATAAATGTATAGGTAGTCCTTGCTTAACAACTCTTCGTTTAGCGACTGTTTGAAGTTATGATGGTGCTAAAAAAGTGACTTACGACCAGTGTCTGAAGTTACTGCTGTTGCAGTGCCCCCACAATCACATGCTCACAATCTGGGCACTTGGCAACCAGCTCGCACTTATGATGATTGCAGCATCCCAGGGTCACATGATTACCATTTGTGACCTTCCAGACAGTTTCCAGCAAGCAAAATCAATGGAGAACTTCATGATTCACTTAACAACCACAGCGATTCACTTAACGACTGCAAAAAAGGTCATAAAATCAGGTCTGGTCATGTTAACACCTGCTTAACAACTGCATTGCTTAGTGACCTAAATTCCAGTCCCAATTGTCGTTAAGCAAGGACTACCTGTAATTTATATTACTCGAGAAACTAGTATAAGGAAGAATGATTTGATTCCTAAGTAGACTTTGCATTACAAATGCAGATGAATTTGGATGCAAGCGTTTGATTATCACATTCAAGAAGAATGACAAGAATTTGACTTTACACTTGAGATAGGGCTGCAATTGAAGCTGACATCTTTTGTCAAGCTTATTCCCTCCCAGTCATATCAAGAGTCATCTTATTCCATTCCCTGATTTCCTTCTAATGTGCATATTCCATGTCTATAACTCTGAGAACCAATGGGGTAGATCAAAGATATAGCATAAGCTTAGTGAAGAAAAAAAGTGTGATCATATATGTTACAAAAAAAGGGGAAAATATGATAGTGCCTTCCCCCATCATACAAGACCTTCACACAATCCCCAAATCTGAAAGGTGTGTGTGTGTGTGTGGCACTGTAGCTCCTGGCTATTCTCTCTGCAGGATAGTGAGCCCACTGGCCAAACTCTGCTGGCCACATCTGGGCCAGGAGATGAAACCATGGAAGCCTGAGGATGTCAATGAAGACTGCTGTCATTTCAGATAGGTGTGAATCTCAACACTCTATTCTAACTGGGTGTGGCAGTAGCACACACATTAGCACTTGAATGAAATCTGCTAGCATTGTGCACAGTCTCATCTGTGTGCTAATGTATCACTACTGCTTGGATCCCAACTGTCAAGTGCATGTATAGAGCCCAGCAAGTTCACATAATAGATTACCCCCCCACACCCAAACTTGCATCATAGTCTGTTAATACGTTGCACTATTTCCACTCTATTTTTCCCCCCAGTAAAATCAAACATTACTTAGAATTAGTGTTTGCAGAAAACAAAAATGAAGGAAACTACATTAATACAAAACTCATCACCTGAACCCATCATGCTTCTCTGACTTTGTTAGGTGCCACTTGGGGGAAAATAAGATGCTTTCCTTCTAACTTTGCAACCATCAATGAAGCCTCTAAATTTATCACTGAGGCATTAGCACTTCATTCCACTGGCTAATTGCAGAGAAGGTAGGTATTTATCTTCTCAAAATAGATCAAACATTGTAAAGGAAGGAAGGAAGGAAGGAAGGAAGGAAGACACTTTTTTTTTCTTAGGTGCTTCCCTACTACCTTCTCCTGCTGCTGACAGCTTCAGGGGTCACCTGGCTAGAACAAGTCATTTGGATCTGCAAATCAGCAAAAGCTAATGCTAATGTCTCATCAATGTATCCAGATCAACAGAGTTCCAGATGAGTTAAAACAGTTGTTAGAGGAAGTGCTAAAGGAAGACCCCCAAGTATCATACAGTTCATTAGTGGACTTCAGAGAGTAGTCTTCCTTGCCCTTGGCAGTATGAGTATTTCCCAGATTCCTTTGTCCGGGCTTGGAGCCATAGGAAGTGAAGGGTGAAAGGCAGAATTGTTTGTTCAATTCTTTTGCTGCATTCATCTAACTTGTCCAACTGGCACCTCACCACATTTGCAAATAAATAAATAAATAAATAAATAAAATTGCAGGGAGGTATCCATAAATGAGAATAGTCGCTCCAATCCATTTCAAGGAGCCAGGTACAATTCTTAGGAGTGATCTATGCAGTCATCATTGGCTCTCAGCTGTGTTTGGATCCAACCCAAGATGCTGAGTTAAATTCCACAGAGATTGCCTCGGTTTGTTAGCAATTTTTTTTTTTTACCTAAGGGTCTAACGACACCTTAGACCTTCAAACATTTTTGTTCTGATGTGTTCCTTAAAAAAAGAAGAAGAAAATTATTCTTGGAAAGAAACTCCAACCTACTCCTATTCTTTTTTTGTAAGGGCAGGTTAAAACCAACCAACCAACCAACCAGCCACCACCATAACAAAAAACTTTAATAGTGACTCTGCTGGGATAGAGCCTAAACCTGATCCTTCCCCTTGGCTACCCCCATTTCTAGGGGATATAACATACTCTACAACATATTTCCTTATTGTGTTGCCATTTCCTTTGTCCCATGCAATGATTTATTTTGTCTTACAGAACCAAATGTGTATTACAGAACCAACCTAATAGCTGAGCTGCACAACTTTGGATCTTGCTGGCACAGCCTCACTCTTCTTGGTCATGTTAGATTGTGATGCTAAGCAGAGAGAATCTGAACATCTTTAGCTGCCTCCTATTCCATTACTCACTTGTGAATTAAAAAAGGAGTGAGCCTAGTTATGTTGACTCTTCTCAAAAAGCTAAAGTGGGTTTGGACGTGATTAGTGCCTGGATAGGAAACCAATAGGAAATCTCAAGCTTGTAAATTAGACTAGGTGGAGGTCCAAAAAATCAAGCTGGAAGCTGCAACCGTGTAATGGAAGCCCTGTACCTGTGGATGCTCTGGCAGTAGAAGACAATGGAACCCACTTCTATATTCTTGCCCAGAAACCTACGTAGATATATCTATACAGTCACTGAAGATATGCAGAAGTGGCTGCAGAGTGTGGTCAAAAGAGGCAAGGTGATGGCCATGATGGTGCAATTGAAGTCCAAACTGGATTTACGGTATGTGTGGTACAGCCACAGTCATGACTTTTTTTGACTGTACCCTCTGGTCAGCTCTACATACTGTAATATTAAAAAATTGATAAGAATATAAATGCTAGACATTTTCAACAACGCACAAGGTCCCTCTTTTTTTCAAACTTCACCCATTGTAGGTTTTTGGCTCACATCAGGTTTGCTCAGATGAAAATATAATTAGATCCCTGTAATCTGTATCCAAATGAGTGCAAAGGATGAACAGGGGAAACAAGAAAAAACTGCCACGTTCCTACACCTTTAGATGTCAACTCATACATTCTGTAATGTTTAAAAAAAAAAAAAAAGCTTTGATTACATCAAAGCATACTGATTGCCTAAAAATGAAACTAGTATTAAATATTGAATCAGTGATGTAAGGCTTTTCGTATGTGGGGAGACTGTTATATTCCTCAGTGTAACGTAGCTTGCCTGCCATCTCTCTCTCTCTTTCATGTTCCATTGATGAGATCATGATTAAGCATACATAGTATTTAATTGTCCCCAATTTATCAAGATTCTCTTCTCTGATCTTTTAGTGTGCAGTAATCAGATTTTGGCATATCCAACTGCAGCAGAGGTATCGCTCCAACACTTCTGCGGAGCCCCAATGATTTGGTAGAGACAAGATATCCACAGGGCACGGTAAAAAAATTCAAGATGGTGGCCCTGATGGTGCAATAGAAGCTCCGTTTCTGTTTCTTTGTTTCTTTAAGCACATCATGTGTGCAAGGCACATAAAAAAGGTGGAGCTTTCATTGCATCATCGTGGCTTTCTGGATCATGCGCTGCACATACCCCTGGACAGAGTAAATGTTAAGTTTTCTTCAAGCTAAGCTCAGATCCTGGTGACTTGATGGATACACATCCATGTAGGTTTTTTTATATACCAATGCAAGGGGTTTGCCCGTCCTGCTTTTGTGGACGTTTTCGCACTTCCCAGTCTGATTTATTCCCCAGGGCTTCCAGCAGCTTTGCAGAAGGCTTTTTGCAAAGTGTTACTGTATATGCTGCTACGGTTATCTTTATTTTGTTTTAAATCCTTATCCTCTGCCATCACTAGAAATTAAACTTGGGGGTTGAAAGGGAACCTTTCTTTCTTCCTCCCCCGCCACCCCAGCCAAACTCTCCATCTGTTATGGATGGGCATGTTCCATGGGCTCCTTTAATTGTGTTTACATGTTGTTCCACTTGTTTTCTTCTATGGTGTTTTATTTTAGGTTATTGGTCAGTCCTTGACCCTTCTATGCTGCTATGCTCCAAACTGCACTGAGTGGCATAGAGTAAAAATAAAATAAAAACAACAGAAATTTAAAAAAACCCTGAAAGCCATGTAAGCCACATGGGTGTGAACTAATAGCAGCAGATCCCAGACATAGTTTTCTTCAAATGGTCTCTCCCAAGGTCAGGTTTCCACTTCTGTGCACCAGCTCATCAAAGGAATAGTGATCCATATATATGGGGAGAAGCTACTCCACAGAAGGATGTCATGGGGTTCCTGCAGATGGGGACCCTCAGCAGGGTCATTGCCCCAGATTTCTTTGATTCCTCTTTGGCACTAAAACAAACAGACTAACAAATAAATAATGGTGTTACTGGTCTCTAGAACACAAGATGTAAATGTAGGTGCATGACAATAAAGGCTGAATGCCATGAAATGTGCAAACATATTCGGATCACATCTTAGCATGGAATCCAAGGATTCTAGAGTTGGAAGGTATTTTGATCATTGAATCCAACCCCTTGTCCAGTTAAGGCCTCTCTGACTAGCTGCCTGGTCTCATTCATTGAAAGGGGTCCCACCCCTTCTCTGGGTAATAAGTCCCACGATCAAACAACTTTCACCATTAGGAAACTTGTCCAAACATACCACAGGACTCTGCCTTCCTGTAATTGAACTGAACTCTGGATTAGACAGAAGAGATTCTGAGCTTTCAGGAATGTGCAAAGTGTGGTCATCTTCTTCTCCCCTCTCATCTCTTCTTGAGATTCAACCTACAGTTTCCTTATTCTTTTTTTGTAAAACCTGATGCCCAGTCCCTTGATGATCTTCCCTGCCCTTTTCTGTATGTATACTTTAAGGGAACTGCAATGGAAAGCCAAGCTGTAGGAAAAGGTTAGGCAGCCTTCCTGAGCAATACTTAGTTTTGATCCTGAGATTCTTCCAAAAAGCAGAGTAAGACTGCTCCACAGAAAGTGTTTTACAGGAATAGTGTCATTATGGAAAGGTTTCTCCTAGCCATCAGCTAATATATCAGGGTGACTCCCAGGGGGTTCAAAAAAGTCAAGATGGCAACTGAGAGGGTAGGATTGAAGCCCACCCCTTTACTACGTGTCATGCCAGCCATCTTGACTTTTCTGACCCCACATAGAAGCCAGGTTAGTTAGTTAGTTTGGCCAGGACTTCCAAAGCTGAAGCCCATGTTAAGTTAAGTGGCTGTTTCAATTCTTGTGTTCCATCTCAGTAGTCACTGTCCATCTGTAAATTAAATTACATTACTCAAAATAGGTATGATATCATTATTTATTTATTTATTTATTTATTTATTTATTTCATTTACATGGCTGCCCATCTTACTACCTTCTCTCTGGGTGGCTTACAAGTTTAAAAATAAACAAAAAACAGTAAAACAAAATGCCCCCAAACCCACAGAAACCATTAAAAACCATAAAGGACACTTCTTCATCTATCATTCACTGTGACTGGGCCCCATCACTATCTGTCAGCCCCATTTATCTCACAGGACCGTGGTGAGGATAAAATGTCAAAGGGGACCATGGATGCCGCTCTGAAGATACATATACATGCAATAAATAATCTTTTTTGTAGAGAGACACATTTCGTATAGATAGTGTGAGAGGGGGAGTCTGGGAAAGGAATGGAAGAGAGAGTAGAGATACACAGTAATGAACAATCATACAACAGTTAGATTATCCCATACATGGCAAATTAGCCCAGGTTGCAAGAAAACGGTGAAGAAACATTTCAAGTAATTTGCAGAGACTCCACCTTAATTAACTCACTCTAAATGAGGCTCTGAAGGAACGGCTGAGATTCTTATTTAACCCAGAGTAGCATTAAAGCTGCCGTAGTGAAATCGAGATGGCTTTTGCTCTCTTGACCTTTCTGGGGGGGCTTGGCAGGTAGCTGGCTTCACAAAAACCATGTCGGAATGGCTCTGAACCCTTCTGAGGAAGAAAGGAATGGAAGTGCAATACATTCATCCCAGATGTGACTGGAACAGCATCCAATAAATATTGCTGCAACAGAGATCCATAACCAGTCTTCATGGTTCCCAGTCTTCTCAAGGAAACTCTGCTTAGATTCTGCTCTCATGCACCCATATATTTCCCTTGCTAGATCAGCGGGACAGCATTAACCTTTGCTCAGATATAGTCTATGGGACATCTATTCATAATCTTGGAAGATGGATGTCTTTTATTTTCCCTTTTAAATCCCAGAAATCTGCCCTGTTTCAGCCAGATATGAAGATAAAATATATTGGTTGGTGAGCTATGACAAGGCTACAGTAAGGACACCGGCTGCCAGTGTGATACATTTGATTGTCCAGTACCTTCCAACCTTTCACAGGTGTTTGTGTGGTAATGAAGACAAATACATCCATTTATTTCTCCAGGTTTTTAAGAAGATAAAAATAGAACTATTACAATTAAAGATCCCTTCTGGCATTTATTTATATATTACCTTTCAACCACGTTCTGGAAAATTGGTTCAAGGTCACAATTTTCTTGCAAGATTATGCTTGTAGAAATGGAAGAATCTCAGGCATGCAGCAGAAGCGATCACAGCAGAAGGTAACCACATAGGATACAAAACGGGGGCCACACAGAAGACAGCATGGAGCCTGGTAATACCCAAACACTTTGGGAAGAAGCCAGTTAAATGTTACGGAAAGAGATTCTATTTATCTGAGCACTGCCTTGAAACTTCCCCATTCCCTGGGCTTTCTTTCTCGTCTTTTCCAAATATACTTTTCACAACTCATTTTATACATGCCTACTTTTTTTCCCCCTTTTAAAAACAAACTACTCAAAAATGTGGTTCATACTCTGGAGAAGAAATGTACAGGTAAGCTATCGTATCTGGACTCCAGAAATCCCAATGACCACTAGAAGTAGCAAAGAAAGGTACAGTTTCTAGAACTCATTCCTGCCCTCTAACAGGGATCCAGAGACTTGCAAGGTAGATATAATAATAGAAAAATAAAAAAGATTTGTTTTTCACCTTCTTCATCAGATGTTAGAAGGGAATGGGAGGTGCAAGGAAAAAAATGGTTAATGGAACGTTTAAAATCAGGATTGTTTTTCTCCCTGCCTTTGTGGAAACACAACTTAGTTACAGCTGAACCTTTGGATTTACATGATGACAGTATCAGCATAGAAATCTATGCACACACAGCTTTACACAGCTCAGAGGTGTGGAAAGCATATTATTTGACAGCTGGAAGATTCTGGGGGACGCTAAAATATTTTGTTTTCCATCCAAATCCCTCTAATCCAACAAGCACAGAAAATCTTTCAGAACAGGAAGTGGTTCATGATGTTTCAGACATGTTCCATGCCTGAAATGGTACAGTCTGCAGATTCCTACTAGCCATGTCAATAGAACCCCTCTGAAATCAGTCCACTGGTGTAGACTGTCATGGATAGTCTACACCAGCATTTCTCAGACTCGGCAGCTTTAAGATGTAGGGACTTGCTGGCTGGGGAATTCTGGGAGTTGACTTCCACATATCTTCAAGTTGCCAAGTTTGAAAAACACTGGTCTAAATAGTGGAGATCAAGGCTCTGAAGAGGGGTGGCAAATGGCTCCAGATATACTGTTTGTGTTATAGTGTATATGTACACTATCACGTGCAATGAATCATCCATCATTGAAGCCAACTGGATGTTCAGCTAAGATTATTTCATGGCTGGGCCAGGAAGGCCCATGTGATGAATAAGCCCAAGTTGTGATTCCTGCATGCTGATGTGAGTAATACTAACACATAATAAGGTAAATGTCAGTGATAGAAAGAAGCAAATACTGCTTGAAACCATCTCTGTTACGGGGCTCTGCAAATGATTTGGAGGTTGATGTCTTGTTTCTCAGGACCTGATTTGCCCCCTTAACCTGAATTCACTGTCCAAAACAGTAACTGCATCCTTGCTATAGACATTCTGTGAATGAAGGTTAACTATCTTTTCTTGTCCCGTCCCTTGGATTTTCACCCCAGATTTGGGAAGGAAAAATGTCCATAACTCT